CCCCAAAACCCCAAAACCCCAAAACCCCTATTGATATTAAGGGATTGATATTCAAATGATGCAATAATAATAAAATGGCTACTAAGGTAAGCACTATTAAATTATGCTATCTTGCATAAAGTATGGCGACTCCTTTGAAGACAATCATAGAACAGTTGCTTTGAGTTTTCTTAAATATTCTACTAGCTATTTAAGACAAGGGAGGACCAAATTTTTATATGTAGCACCCTAAATATCATTGATCTAGTTTTGAATAATCTTCTCTAGCAATACAAAGCAACAAGAGAATTCAGATTAAACTCTTCCCAGAGTATCGAGTGATCTCAGGAGAAGACCCTTTGCCAAGATAAGTTCTGTAGCATTTCTGAAAGTGTCTCAAGAAGTATTTATTCAGTTACTCAAGAGAATGAAAAGAGAACCTCTTCGAAAGAATGTTCAAATGACGACATCAGTCTATTGGTGAATCAGTGCTCTACACAAGCGGTGGCTTCAGGAGATGAGGGGTTTCACTCCCTTGCATTTATTAATAAGAAATTGAATGAAGAAAACAAGACCTGTCTTACTCATGCCAACTCTTTGCAATGCAATAGCCTTATTGGAGAAGACTCCAGCAAGCATGCAGGTGGTGGTTTTAGTGACAAGACACTTCAGAAACAAGGAAATAGCAGTCAGGACTACGTACAGGCAATCTTTGGCCAGCAATTTGCAGATTACCTATCAAGATATGCCCTTGAAGTGCATGCTTTGATTTCAGATTATTATTCCTCCACTTCCGAGATGATTTGTTTAGGAAACTATAAGCAGTTGTCTTTGCCAAATACAAGTCTAGAGGAATTGGTGGTGAAACTGCGAGAACGAGTTATAGATGACTCTCAGAGCGACATTTTCTCATTCTCTCTCACCCGGTCCAGCTTTGCTAGTACTCTAAGGTTAGTATTTGAAAAGGTTACTGGGAAGCCCCTCATCGTTGGCCAGAATGAAACTATATGCATGTGGTTATAGACTTGGAGAATGAAGAGGACAGAGAGTTCCTGACTGCTGTTGGGGATATCAAATTCCCTACTATTGATACTATCATTATTGATAATTTTTACGAGGGTGATGAAGAGCTTGAAACATTCCTTTCACAAAGTATTTCAAGTGTTAATAACCTCATCTTGAGGGCTGATGGCTACTGCGTAGACTTCCATGATTACTGTGAAAAGCTGCAAGAGCTTGACTTTATCAAATGCCTGTATCTCAAGGGATTTTTGATAGATAGCGAAGATCTTGAGCAAGTTCTCAAATTTCCCGATTTAGAAAAAGTTGTATTTGAGTCTTGAAAAATTGAAGTTGATGAGCATTTCTGCATCTGTGAAGACAATGAACTTGAAAATCGATTAGTTCTAAAGTCATTGCACTTCATCAGAGATGAAATGGAAGAGGAAGATATGAAAAGACTAGCAGAATCTATTAAACAGAGTTCTTGAGAGTATTCTTTTGAATCAATCACAGTGCTAAACTGAGCTCTGAGTCAAGAGCAAATAGACTCCATCTTTAATTAATTTTATATTTGAATAATTGCTAAACTACTCTATGATACTCGTGGATACTGTCTATTTGCCAAATTGGTACAAATAGCAACAAGAGACTCTCTTGTAGGTTCTTTTTTCAAAGATCCAGACCACATTTAAATTGCTCTATCATCCATACAACTCGATAGAATACGATAGTTTGACACAAAGGTTCAAAACTTATGGTTAGTAATAGTTAGTCGTTACTTTTCATCAATTATGCAGTATTCTAAACCTGGCTAACTCCTACAGGAGATTTCTGGAAACACAAAATTTTGATAATGATTTCAATCCAGAAATTTTTATTTAAATATCACTTAATTTTAAAACCATATCTGGGCTTAATAATTACTATCGTGACAAGTTTTCTACAACTTTGTAAATACTTTAAAGATTCTTGGGAATTAGCCAAAGTATAATAATCCTGACTACAAAATATCTTCTAAACGAGCCGATCCAGATAGTCTTAATAGGAAATAGACATGAGTTGCCTTAAGATGTAGAGTAAGGAGACTATCCTGATTCATGGCCATAATTCCTAACCGATTATTCTGACTGTATATCTAAACTATAAGTAGCTATGCGATAGTTTGAATATCATTACAGCTTTGTCTACTGATTAATGACTGATCTATAGTCTTGCATATGTTGACTCCTTGTTTTATGTAAATCTAGGGAGGCCACGCTGACTTTTTGGAGGGTTCCTACTAATACATAAAGTAAATATTCAAATTGGAACATTTAATCAGGGGTTTTGGGGTTTTGGGGTTTTGGGGTTTTGGGG